ACTAATTGTTTGGTTAACTTATATGGACAATATACTTTACAGTAAAATATTAAAATTTCATGAGCATCCTCTAGATTTATACTTATTTAGAAACGCAAAGTTTGGTGCCAGCACCTCCTTCAGCAAGAGGAAAAATTTTGGAAGGAATATTTTTGGACCGCTCTAATGTACATACATACAATAAGGCACCCTGAAATTGTGCATATGGAAACTGTGCATACGAAATAATGCATATGAAAAAAACCGAAATAATGCCTACGAAAACCGCAATAATGCTTATTAGAAAAACCGAAATTATGCATATGCACACTTTCGTGTGAAATCCGAAATAATGGGTATGAGAAAAACGAAGTAATGCATACATGCACGGCTTCGGTTGAAAACCGAAATAATGTATACGGCAAAACCCGAAATAAAGCATGCATGCACAGTTTCGGTTGAAACCGAAATCATGTCTAAATGCAGAGTTTCCATATGCGCAATTTCAGTGCCCTATACAATAATCATTTGGTAACGAAAAAACAAAATCATTAATTTTTTCAAGGAAAATTTGTTATCCTCACAAGCGTTCGTAAATTCGTTAACTTTACCCCATGCGATTCGCATTTACACCAAACTGCATGCTCTGCGCTCACGAACACAATCTCACTTTCAGTTAGGGTTGCTAGACGTATAGCTTTTGGGAGTAAACGTACTCCTTTTTACTGCAATGTACTCCCTTGTACTCCCGAAAAAAAAATATCCGGAAATGTACTCCTTTCCTAGTTTTGTACTTCGTTTGTACTCCTTTTTCCAGCTATTAATATTTTATCATATACAGGGTGTAAAATAATAACTGTTGCACAGGTTTTTGTTTTTTTGTGTGTTTTTGTTTTGTTTATAGATTTTACTTAAATTTCATTAATTCGTTTTTAAATTTTAACATTTGGGTTTACCAGCGGTAACCACTTTGAGAAAAAAGCGCAAGTAAAAAAGTAGTTTATCGTTAATTTTCCACAGATTTTACTTAAATTTTATTAATTAGTTTTTAAATTTTAACCTTCATTTGGGTTTACCGGCGAAAAACACTTTGAGAGAAAAGCGCAAGTAAAAAATCAGTTTATTGTTAATTTTCCACAGATTTTACTTACATTTTATTAATTAGTTTTTAAATTTTAACCTTCATTTGGGTTTACCGGCGGAAAACACTTTGAGAGAAAAGCGCAAGCGGCACGCAAGTCTTCGTCGGTTACTTTATTGCATATCTTCTGTAACCATAGGCTAACTTCCTCCATGTGGGTCCTTTGTACTCCCCCTTTTGTCCAACATAAGACCTCATACTCAGCAATAGAGTTGCAAATATATCGATGTCAATATCGATATATCGAGTAATTGGTTTTTTTTTGCCGACATCGATATTTTTTTCGATATCGAGTATGGCATAGCCATTTTCTCATTACATATTTTTGCGCCAAACAACATCAGTGACTGATTTAATAGACTAAAAATCTGCATACCAAATTTTTTTATAGAAATTCTTATTAAAAAGTTCGCAATTTTTAAGAAACTTTTTTGATTTGTTTCTAATTTTTGCAAAAATTTTACAATTTAGGTTTATATGGCTTTTGTTACAGATTGAGCTATACTTTTATAAAAAAGTAATGAAAAAAAATATAGAATGAAAAAACATTGCGAATACTGTAGTAATATCACTGTGTGATTTGAGTGTGGGTCACTGTTCATACATACATACATATGTACCTCATATCTATGTATAATAAAATTTTCGATATTTAAGAGACGAAAACTCGATATATCGATATATATCG